GGTAAAGGGGCAGGGCCGGGGCCCATGGAGTGTCCTCTTTTTTTATTTTTTAAATATGGTAACCCTAATTCCACACAGCCCTTAGGATCTCATGCTAGTCATTGTCCTGAAGAATTAAATAAAACATGGTGTCGCTTTTAGAAAGTCCTGTTTGACCAGTTCAACAGGTATAGCCCTCAGGGCTTATTAAGACTTGGAACCACAACATAAACAGAGCAATTAAGAGAGGCTAGGCCACTAAAGGTAACACTTCCTTGGAGACCAGTGGGTATAACATATAGACTGTTAACATGGGTTATGAATGTTGTTGTCGATCAGCTCCTTAATACACAAGCTCACAGGAGAGATGACTAGCCAGGAATAATCAGCTACTACCTTCCTGAACTAATCCAAGTCATAATGATCCCTGTAATAATAGCACCACAAACTAAGCAGCCCCTTATTTATAAGGCGCTAGCTAGTGATATTTAAAGTAGGATCTAGTAAGTAAAGGCAGGATTCAGACTTTTAGGGATCCTCTAAAAATGAAGGCTGGAGGCCTGCTTGCTGTCTGGGAAGGTCCATGCAAACCCGGAGTTTAAGGGAAAATACTAGACTTACCTAACTCCCAGTTACCTGACTTGCTTGGGAAGCTGTGCCATAGAGTCAGTATTTAGAATCTTCTGTTTGCTTTTCTGCTATAAACTTGATTCATTAAATAAGTAGTTTGGTATTTTGTAAAATGCCAACTGACTGTCTGAGGGGGGTGATACTCCACTGATTTCAGTCTGGAAGTTGCCAGGAGAGGAAAAGGAATTAACAATGAACTTTTTGTCTTAAAAATTGGGAATATTGGTACTATGTGGACCAAAACCTAAAGTCCAGGCAGGTACCATTGGTGACCACCTTCTTTTCCTCAGTTTAGGGAACAAGTAGTTAAAGAAACTGTTGAGAAACTTGAGCAAAAACTAAGTGAGAAGCTCATCCTTCATAATCAGCCCCCAGACTCATCCAGCAGCTCCACCACAATAGCACAGCCCGCTCCAGAGACCCAGTCGACACAAGGCAGCCAGTGTGACTGGCTAATCTCCTGCAGCAACTGCCACGCCCGGATTGTGGGGATCCGTTACCAGTGCAGGTACAGTCTGATGGCATCTGGTTGTTTAGAAGAGTGACATATCAGTGTTGCATGCCTATGCATTATAGAATGAGAAATTGTTGGCACTTGGAAAAATCTCCAAAGTTTGAATCCACAGAGTGTGATCCTTGTCTCAGATGCTCCTGTGTGCATTGCTGCATGTCTTGTATAATCAGCAACTGTACCAGTACATGTGCTTTTGGTGATTTGACAACTTTCTCAGTGGCATATGGGCCTAGATCTGAGATCATGATGTCTTCAGTAAATAGTTCTCTTGTTGGTCATGATTGGTTACTAGGCTAATGCACATTTTTTTTCTCCTCTTCCTCTCCATAGCCACACCAGAATTCAAAGCACTGAATCCTGCGTTACAAATACATTTATAAGGACCTTACTGATAGGTATCTTAAGTGCTGTGTGATAACACAAATCCCATAAAAAGGGGCAACTTCCCTTTGAGTTCCTGTAAAAATAAATGCTTCGTTCTTATGGCCTAAATAGCAACTGTAGCAATTGACGTAGTTCAATCTGATGTATATTTCCTCTGTCACTCAGAGCGTACAGATTGAGATACTTCCATTAATTTCATTTCCTCAGTACATCTGCTTTACAGCCCTGGGACGCTGCTAAGAGCTTTGGTGTCCTGTCCCCTACACTGTATCATCCACTGTACTGCAGTATATTTTACAGAGAATTTTGCTTAGTTTTTCTTACCCTCTGTTGCAAACAATCTGCAGTCAGTCACTCATGAGTTGAGGAAGGCCTGTTTCAAGATGTGACACTAAAGAGGAAATGACTCAATGTCTTGGATGGAGTTGGGTTGGAAAGAATGTTCCCGATAGAGGTGGCTGCACAAATGATGGAGCCGACTCCTGCTCCACCCAAGTAATCTTGCCTAATATGCAGAGGTTCCAATACAGTGATTGCTTCTTTAGGGAGATGGGGTGTTACCCATATGAGGATTTCCTTTCCTACACACACACACACACACACCTTCCTTTATTTGCCTTTAAGTAACCTGCTTGCCTTTACTTCTTTTGCAGTGTGTGCCCAGCCTACAGTATCTGTGAACCGTGTGAGACAGGGACGTATGCACATGATCCCAATCATGTCTTGTTGAAGTTGCGGAGACCTGTTCTATGTGTCTCTGAGACATACAGCGTTGGGCAGTTCTCTCCTCGTCTCCCTGCTACTCTGGAGCAAGTTAGGTAAATGCGTAGCTGCCTCAGTTACATGGCAATGTTCTTCTGGTCTGCAGGAGGCAGTTTGAAAACGCCTATAATTGGGGTTTTGTTTAGGTTTTTATGATGGCTATAGAAGAAAGCAAGAAGTGGAAACTGGCATATGCATTATTTCCAGAATATGGAGCAGATGACTAAGCAGAGTAGCATATGTCTGTGCCACATGAAATCCAAGACTGTCCTAGACTCTTCAGCAGGAAGGTGGACGAGATCGTTAGGCAGAGGTTTCTTCTCCTTTCTCGTCTCATAGCTGGGTTCTGCAGGACCTAACGAGTTCAGTATCTCCCTGTGATACCACGTATGTTAATGTGGCTTCTGTGAGTTCGCTCTTCCATCAGGGCCACATTGAATATCTGCACCAGCTACTCTTCAGGCATTGTCGCAGATTTCCATCCTTTGAGAAATGTGCCCTTCAGAAGCTGTCACTGGGATATTGCCCATAGAAGCCTGAGGTTTTTCATTTAGTGTTCCATGAAACATTCCTGGCAGAATGAGAGTTTATGTTGTTGGAAGCTGAACTCCAGTTTGGTTGCTAAGTGTAGGTTGTACAGAGCTGGATGTCTTTATTTGCAGGCTCCAGAAACAGATGGACAAAAGATTTCTGAAGGCAGAAAAGCAAAGATTACGAGCGGAGAAGAAACAGCGCAAGGCTGAAGTCCGAGAGCTCAAAAAGCAGCTCAAGCTACACAGGAAGATTCACCTGTGGAACTCTGCCCATGCGCTGGAGATCACCGGCTCACCCGCTATCACACCAGAGAGCCTGCAGCCCAGTGCCCTCACGTAAGGAATGCTGGGAGCCAGAGCAGCGCTTCGTGCATGGCTGTGCCGTTCCTTGATCCTGTGAGGCAATGAGGTTAAAATGTCATGTAGAATTTTATGAAATAATGAAAGGCTAAATCCTGGAGACTCTCACTGGTGGCAATGAGAGTCCATGAGAGCTTTGACCTAGTGAGGACTGCAAGGTTTGATGCTGTTGGTTAAAATCCTATCCCTTACCAAAAATCTGAAAACAGGTGTATATGGAGCATAAGCTGGGCATGTTGTGAGTTGGGAGAGCGTGAGGGGTTTAAATTTGAGGTGGTGTAACAGGGAGGGAGGGCGGGCAGCATAAATTGAGGTTGAACAGACTGCATTTTTTTATGGTCTTCCTGACTGGCTCCTTTTGGAATCTAGTCCGTACTCCATGTGCACCGTTTTTGCACAAGATCATGCTGAGGTAAGAATGGAGGCTATAGCACCCTTTTGTCTCATTAGATGGGAGTCTTTCATGTAGAGAAGTCTGCTTGAGTTTTTCCATTATTCTACTTTATGCATGTACGGATTTAAAACATGTAATATCTCTGGTTTCTCATTCCCTTAAAATCATTGGGGTGTATTTTTTTCCCTTTACATATGTCTGAATCCAGTTAACATTAGTTGGAGCTACTTGATACTCGTGGAGAGTTTAATAGATCCAATTGTGTTACCTATTTGCTAAGTAGGAAATATTTCCACTTTTTTTAAAGGACACCAATTTGAAATGTAGTGCAGGACCTGAAACTGTGTTTAAATTGACCTGTCCCTAAGTCTCCTTCCAAGTTTTGTGTGGGTGGGAGGAGAACATTTAAACTCCTCTATTGCGGAGAGTCCTTACAGGGGAAATGATGAGGCTGACCAGATACTAGTATTCTGATTCAACAAAGTATTTCAGTATGTGTTTTAAATGCTTTGCTGAATCTAGGCCAAAGAACTGTCAAATGAAAGTAAACCAGCTAGGAACAAATTATTTCATTAATATAAATCTTTAAATGTTGTAACTATACTAGGGGAAATTTTCAGAAAAGTGTTTTATTTTGACCCCTATAAGCAAAGGAAGACCAACTACTTAAGTGGTGGATTTTAAAACTTAAGTTGAAGATATTTATTTAAAATGCTAGGGCTTTGGATCTGCCTTCCACAGGCTGAGGAGGAGGATGACAACTGAAATAGGTCAGTCTGCTTCATTCAGTCAATTTCAGAGCGGCTTCTGTGCTTTGTTCTGTACTCAGGAGTCCTATCCAGCCCTGCCCAACTGTTGTCCCTACACTGAGTGCAGCGTTCGTGGATGAGAATTTGCCTGATGGGACTCACATACAACCAGGGACAAAGTTTATCAAGCACTGGCGAATGAAGAATACTGGCAACGTGGAGTGGAGCTCAGACACCAAGGTGCCCCCCCTTTGCTATTCCTGTGTTTACACTCGTAAATCACTTGAGTAAGTTCCAGGAGGTAAAGTTTGTATGTGTTGGCTATGGACGGGGATTTTGGTTCTGACTGCAGTCAAAGCAACACCTGCCTCAGGTTCTGGCTAGTCTGTTCATAGTAGAGTACACTTCTTGCACTCCTCAGGAATAGATGGCAGAAGACTGAAAAAAAGGGGTTAATGACCGCCATAACTTTGGGAAACTATATTGAGTTAGTGACTTGCCAAGGGGGGAAGGGGTCCCACAGCATGGTCGTTCTGTCATACATCCGCGTTTGCTTCTATCACATACAAACATCTGACCATAGCACCACAGCCTCTTTCTTTCATTAGTCTAGACCAAAATTAAAACTGAAACATCAATATTTTATCAGCCTTTGCCGTGACTGTGACTTACATAGAAAGTCTGAAGGGTTCATTAGAAGGGTGGAGTAGAGCTGGTGAGTGTGGGGGAGGTTAGGGTGCCAATAAACTAGTTGGTTTTGTTTTTTATCCTTCAGCTGAAATTCATGTGGGGAAATCTGACCCTGGGGTCTTCTGAAAAAAAGGACGTGTTGGTGCCATCCCTGCCAGCAGGGCAAGTGGGGATTGTCTCGGTCGAGTTTGTTGCTCCTGCTCTAGAAGGGACTTACGCTTCTCATTGGCGGCTGTCACACAAGGGGGAGCAGTTTGGGCCCAGAGTTTGGTGCAGTATTGTTGTGGATCCTTCCCCAGTCACTGCCTGCCTGGAGAGGAATCAGAAGACCTCTAGTTTCAGTCTAAAGGATAAAGCTTCCTGTAGAAATGAGGCAAGTATCTCAAACTGATATGATGGAATCTGCCTATGGAAGAAAGAATAGTGTCTGTTTCTATTTGGTGCAATGGTGTAGTTGCTTCCATCCTCCCGCAGTGTTGGGGATTGTTTCAGTTGTTTCCCATTGTTTAAAAAAGATGGCCTAACTTTGTTGCTGTAGTAGTTGCTGACATAGAATATCAGGGTTGGAAGAGACCTCAGGAGGTATCTAGTCCAACCCCCTGCTCAAAGCAGGACCAATCCCCAAATGGCCCCCTTCAAGGATTGAACTCACAACGCTGGGTTTAGCAGGCCAATGCTCAAACCACTGGGCTATCCCTCCCTCCTGTATTACCTGCTGCTTTGCCAAACCTTGAAATAATTGTTGCAGTGTATTACAGCTGGGTTTTTTTTATTTTGTTGTAACTGAAACCTTGCAAGACACCATTCTTATGATATTTGCACTTGTCCATAAGGCTCCAAGTAGGTGGAATGAGGCTTTTTTCATATTCATACTGTCTTTCTGCATAACATTCTGGCTTCATATTTTATATACCTATATTTTTGAGCCTCCTGCAAACATCAGAGGATGTTAATCTAAGGTGCCCCTGGGATGTATCTCCTCCCCACCCTTGGTTTTCTGCAGGCGGTTTCTTCAGAAGCAGAAGGCCAGCAGGCTGGTGAGGGGATGGAGCAGACAGACTTGCCAGTGCCAGCCATCCCTCTGAAGATTAAAAATATCCCCAGTGAGAGAGAGTTTTACATCCCATCAGTTGATCTCCTTACTGCGCAGGTAAAATACTAAATTAAAGGCAAAAGAAGAAAGAAGATTTTGTGCCCTGGTTTTAGTAAAGTGCATAGATATTCACAGGGGTTAGTTGCCTCTGTCTTCTTGAACTGTCAGCTGTTTTGGGTTCAGGAAAATACAGGCCACAGCTTTCTTGATTCAGTAAAACTACTATTTCCCTGGAGCAACCAGTAGTGGGAACTTGTTGCCACTACAATAGGTATGCCACCCATCTTGTTACCCCAGTAGAACCTATTCCACACTGAGTTATATGGGCACCTTCCCTCCTTTGCCTCTAATAAAAGGCATTTGTATGTGCATTGCTCCCACTGTATAGTCTCCCTCTTTCTGGCCATTCACTGATTTTAAAAACACAGCTATTCTTCTGCATTGGACATAGGAGTCCTACTGGAGAGCTGCGGTCTGCCTGAAATTCTGAGGCCCCTGGAGAAGTGGAGTAGATTTATTTATAATAAATGTGGTGCTGCTAGGTTCTGTGGGAGGGTGCAGTGCAGGGCACACTAATGGAAATGGTCTGGGGTTTCCTCCTGTAGGATTTGCTGTCCTTCGAGCTGCTGGACATTAACATTGTGCAGGAACTGGAGCGAGTGCCACACAACACTCCTGTTGGTAAGGAACTTCTTAAATTCTGGTGCACGGCATCTCCCATTCCAGGAGGCCTACAATAGAGGCGTATGACTGTGGTCACGCAGACAGCTGATTCTCCCTTTGGGTCTCCATGGACTGTGATGCTGGAGAACCGATTTGTCACTCTGCATGCGAGACTTTGCCTCTTGAGACACAGAGGTAGAGTAATGAGCTCTTCCAAGCTCCAGCGTCTTCTCTGCACTTCACTCAGAATTCCCCTTGCTCTGGCCCAAGGGGAATTTTGAGGGTCCCTTGTGCGTTCATTCTTGACTCCCTTTCTCACTCACATCACTATGAACAAGGTGATGGACCTCAAGGGAGGCTGCACTTCTGTCCACCTACCCAGCCAGTGTCAATGGAGCATCATAGATCAGCCTGTTTGAGGTGCTTGTTCGTGACACCCACGGTCCCCATCAACCTTGCAGCAAGTAACTTGAGGGGGGTGCTAAACCTAAAAATGGCTAATTGCTTGAAAGGTTGCCTTTTGTCTAGCAGGAAGTCTTCTCCTGTAATGCAAATAAACTTTTTTTTGCCTTTATTTTCCAGACATGACTCCATGCATGTCTCCTCTGCCACATGATAGCCCTCTGATAGAGAAGCCTGGCTTGGGTCAGATAGAGGAGGAGAATGAGGGGAGTGGATTTAAACCAGTACCTGGTAAGCAGTCACCCTTGGAGTCCCCAGGACCATTTTCCATTTTCTCTAGGTTGCTAGCAGCTTAAGATCTGTAAGTGGGAACCAGGAACCCTACCTGCTGCCACCACCAAATGCAGCCGTGTGTATTTCCAGCTGCATTTGTTGCAACCTTTTTATTGCCTTAAATTGCCGCTGTAGCCTGAAATGCAGCGAAAATGGTTCCTCCTTATTCAGCATTTCTGCTCACTGAGTCTGAGTCCAAACTACTTTAGTGACTTAAACAAATGTTTACTCCTGTTAACCCTTTCTAATGAGAATGCCTGGCTCATAATCTACCATTGGCTGATCCACTCTGATTGCAGGATTCACGTGGATTTTAGATCCAGTGAGAAACAGCAGTTAGAAAATCCCCAGAATTGATCCAGAACTCCCCCTTGCAGTTGTGCATTGAGTTATGCTCAGACACTGCAGTCTCTTTGGTCCACGCTTTTCTCAAGATTCTATTCACTTATATTTAACTTAAAGGAAGTGAACTCTGGAATGCATCTGTTTCAAAGAAGTAATCACATTTGAAAACCTAGAGGTTTTCTTGTGCTAGCCTCTGCCCTGGTCAGGCTGCCTTTCACGCAGTCCATGTGATACATTCCTCTAGCTGTACTAAAATAACCTGGAGTACTTCACTTGCAAAGTGCTAATTGAAGCCTGCTGTCCTGCAGATGCTCACATGGTGAAAGTGAAGGCTGAACATCCAGTGAACTTGGAAGAAGGGGAAGAAGACATGAGTGGGACTCAGTTTGTATGTGAAACAGTCATACGCTCACTTACCCTGGATGCTGCCCCTGACCACAAACCCCCTCAAAGGAAGAAATCGCTGCAGAGTGAGTGCTCCCCTCAGCTGAGTTCTGTGGCTGGATTTAATTTTGTGCAGCTGAACCTTGGTACTAAATTGCCTCCCCTGAAGGTGGGTTCGGCATTTTAACTGTTCTTCCTGTTTCTTCTATTAGGCTCCCTGCAAACACTACAAGACACCTTCAGTTACAGTGTAAAAAGTGAAGAAGCTATTAGGACAAAAAGTAATTCTGCTTCCAAACCCAAGGAAATGGGGTCAAAGAGCCAACAGTCAGAAGAAAATAGGTTTGGTAAGTGAAATGGATTCTGAGTCCAGAATGGACCACTGTAATAATCTAATCTGACCTCCTTCTTAACACAGGATAGGACTTCTCTCAAAATAATTCTTGTTTTGATTTAGAACTGCCTTTAAAAAACAAAACAAAAAAACAATCAGTGGGGTCAACTGTGTGTTTGAATGCCTGACTCTAAGGCTGTAATGGATCCCGTGATAAACTCTGAAGTACAATAAGAAGTCTGTGGAAGGGAATCATGTTGCGTTAGAAAATCTGTGTCTGTACTCTAACGGAGCAGCACTTGAAACAGTTTTCTTCTGCAAAAGGGAATTAAACTATAGCAGGCTAATGAAAACTTGAAAGGGGAATTCTAGTTGGGTAGGTGTCTGTTATAACACTAGGCGAAGGGCCTGGTTTTCAGCCTGAGTCCACGTTAGGCCATATCTACACTAGCATTTATGTCGGAAAAACTTTTGTCACTCTGGGGTGTGAAAAAAACACACCCCGAGCAACATAAGTTACACTGACAGAAGCACTCGTGTGTACAGTGCTATGTCAGCAGGAGACACTCTCCCGCCAACTTAGCTATCACCGCTCATTGAGCTGGTTTTATTATGTTGACAGCAGAGCTCTTTCCCGTCGACATAACACAGCTACATAAGCGCTCTTACAGCGGCGCAGCTGTAAGCTTGTGAGTGTAGACATGGCCCCAGTGTGCACAACTAGATGGGAGCACTTCTTGCTTTGTGTTGATAGTTGGTAATCTGTGTATAGGTCCATGCCTAGCCAAAGACTGAAAATCAGGCTCAAATTTCTAAGTCCTCACTGTAATTAGTGTGCATGTTGCATTTTGCATTCACTTAATAATATGGCCTGTCCCTTTCTCACATCCCCTCACTTTTTCCACGGGCTAGGGTGCACTCTGGAGATCTGTACTCAGTCCCTAAGGAGGTGAGTTGCAAGCCCAATTGATCTGTGTGGTTGTGAGGTTTCAGCTACCTGGTCACTTCTGGAGGTGCCTGTGACGGGTTCTCCCCGGGGTGCCACCTGGAACTGGGGTACCACTGAGCGCTCTGACTCACCAGCCTGGGCTCCTCTCACACTATGCTGCTGTGACAAGTTGCAGTCCCGCTCCCGGTCCTACACCTCCACCAGCAATCACACAGGCAGGGACACACCCAGCTGCAGTTACATGCAATAGAGAGGCTACAGCCAAAATAACCACCTGCTTCTCAGTGTAGGACCCCAGAGTTGTACCATCCTGCCCTGGTCAAAACCCTGACCCGTATGAATTTATTATCCACCTCGCCTCCCAATCAATGTGAAGGGGAAATGCAACAGCCTTTGCCCCTTGAGCTAAGATTTCCAAGCACTTCATTCAAACTCACTGGTTTATATAAAGCAAAAACAAATTTATTAACTACATAAAGATAGATTATAAGTGATAGCAAACAGATCAAAGCAGATTACCTAGTAAATAAACAAAAACGCAAACTAAGCTTAACATACTAAGTAGATTGGATATGCATTAGTAGTTTCTCACCCTGAGTGATGGTACAAATAGGCTTTCAGATTCATAAAGCACAAGCTGCACTTGCTTTACAGCTTGGAATCCCCAAGTTTTTCATACGCAGGCTAGAAATCCCTTTAGCCTGGGTCCAGCACTTCCCCCAGTTCAGTCTTTGTTCCTCAGGTGTTTCCAGGAGTCCTCTTGTGTGGGGAGTAAAGAACAAGAGAGGATGTCACTGTCTGCCTTATATTGCTCTAGCATATGGCAGGAACCCTTTGTTTTACACTTGGTTCCTAGACCAGTTTGTGGAAAAATACAGACCTCCCAAGATGGAAGTCCAGAGTCATGTGGCCTGGTCACATGGCCTTGCTTACCTTGCTGAGTCATAGGAGCCATTACCTATAGAACAGGAGTACTTGTGGCACCTTAGAGACTAACAAATTTATTTGAGCAGAAGCTTTCGTGGGCTACAAGCTTATGCTCAAATAAATGTGTTAGTCTCTAAGGTGCTACGAGTACTCCTGTTCTTTTTGCGAATACAGACTCACACGGCTGCTACTCTGAAACCTGTCATTACTTATAGACTGTCTGGAACGTTTACAGGAAGGTTAAGTTCTTTCAGGGTCCATTGTCTTTGCTGATGGGCCATCAGCACTGTCTGGCTTCTTCATTGTTGTACCTGGAAGGCTAGTTGTGGGTGTCACCCAGAGTAAGCACATTTGAGATACAGATACTTAGTCAATATTCATAACTTTAGATACAAAAATGAAACATGCATACAAATAGGATAATCATATTCAGCAAATCATAATTTTTCCAATGACCCCTCACCTGGCCCATCTTGTACAAAATGCATCATAATTATGCCATAATCATATTATTATAATATCACTGTGAGGAATATGGGATGCAGTGTCACAGTGCCTTTCTAACTTAAAGTACCCAGGCATAGTGCAGTTCTTCGCCCCTCTGCCCCTGTGTGAGCACTGGATAAACAACCTGATATACAGCCGGAAGGCCAGGCAGTAGCAAAGACAAAGTGCAACCCCACTAATCTCATACCAAAGGTCATTTAGACAAGGTCTGCTTCCCAGCCAGTTGAAAGCCCACACCATCACCACGTGCACACGGAAAAAAACCTGGCCAGCCTTGGCATCAAAGGTCCTGCAGTTTTTTTCTGAGCTCTGGTCTTGTGTTTGTAGGCAAATGGTGCCTTTGTTGCCAAGCTGGTCTTAATGGCAAAATTCTAGTACACCATTCTTTTTCTTCTGTTAGAGAAACTTGCAGTGTCTGACGGAGCAAATCTCAGTGGGGAGCCTAGTGACGCAGAGTATGAAGAGGAGGAGGATGTTAAAGATGAAGTTCAAAGCCAAGTGTCCTCTGCTTCTTCAGAGGATTATATCATTATTCTCCCTGAGTGCTTCGATACCAGCCGTCCGCTGGGAGAGTCTATGTATAGCTCTGCCCTCTCTCAGCCCAGTTTGGAAAGAGCGATAGACACTGAAATGGAGATGGTGATCCCAGAAGGAGAGAGCCAGCCTCAGGTCCATAACATCAACGATATCTTAACAACTTCACAGACGTTGGATGCAGTACCATTGACCCCAGAGATCGTCAGCACCCTACCCCAGCCACAAAGGTATGGAGGGTGTGGGTGCTTCTGTGACAAGAACAAAAATGCTAAAGATAGACATTCTATGTCTATGGGGCACTGAGCCTGAGCCCTGTGTGCAAACTGGAAAAGTTACATTTGTGCTGTTTGAAAAGTATATGCAAGTATGAATGTCTCAGATCCTGCTGTACCGTTTAAGGAAGAATCTTCTGTACAGCCTGTACTGACTCCAGAACTGAAGTTTGCGGTTTTTGCTTCTATATCTTTCTACATGGTTTTTATATATAACTTTTTTTTGCAGGAACTCCTCTTTTCTTCAGAGTCATAGTCTCCAAAAACCAAATTTGCCATTTACAGAGGAAATACCTTCAACTGTTCCCGATCAAATAAGAGAAGGTACCTGCAGCCTATATTATAAATTCCATAGGCGGCTGCTTCGTAACATACACTGTTAACTACATGCGCTACTCGTTGTCACCTGTTTGTTGGGTTCTGCAGCATATTATTTCTATTAAAGTAGTGTCTAAAATCTGCTAGTTGCCATAGAGGCAAAGGAAGATGCAGTTTCTCCCCACGCTCTTTGTATGGTTGTCTTTTATACTATAAATTCTTTGGGGGTAAAGTAGTACAGCATACAGTCAGAATGATTCTTTTATACACAAATGATCCCTTTCTACTTTTCAGTTTATCCAACCAGCAATGGTTAACTTCTTGTTTGGGTAGAAGTGTGCCTGAAGAGAGGGATTTGGAGATGTGCTAACTAATCCTGTCCACATTTTCTGGCAAAGACAGATCTGCTGAGGCAGATGTTGCTGAGGCAGAGGTGGGACTCCTAGCAGGGCCGGCTCTGGCTTTTTTGCCGCCCCAGGCAAAAAAGCCTCCGGCCGCCCCCCCACCCCCCACGGGGCGGGGGAGGGGGCGGCCGGAGCCCCGGGGGGAGGGCGGCGAGCCCCGGCGGGGGCTCTGCTCTCCCCCCGGTGGCCAGAGCGCCGGGGGCAGGGCGGCGAGCCCGGCTCTGACCCCGCTCTCCCCGGCGACCGGAGCGCCGCGCCGCCCCCCCTCCAGGTGCCACCCCAAGCACCAGCTTGGTTGCCTGGTGCCTGGAGCCGGCCCTGACTCCTAGGCATTCCACAAAAGGCCCCGTGGAAATCAGTCTGTCTCAGTGGTGCTTTCTGAATGCAGAGGGATAGCTCAGTGGTTTGTGCATTGGCCTGCTAAACCCAGGGTTGTGAGTTCAATCCTTGAGGGGGCCACTTAGGGATCTAGGGCAAAATCAGTACTTGGTCCTGCTAGTGAAGGCAGGGGGCTGGACTTGATGACCTTTCAAGGTCCCTTCCAGTTCTAGGAGATGGGATATCTCAATTTATTATTATTATTATTTATTAGAGGGTGCAGGGGGAAAAGGGCAGTGGGGGTGAAAGATAAGTACCCCTGTACTTTCCCTCTCTTCTTATCCCATGATCCCCAAACACTGGATAGCTGCAGCACCCAGCTTAGAGTATGGTGAACTGGCTGCCTACAAGCTTGTGATATCTGTGTTAAACGTAGTTTCTTGTGGCCTGTAGGAACCTCACTACTCACTTCAGTTCGCATACGCAAACCACAGCTGTCTACTATGCTTGTTGACTGCACCTGCTCACTTGTTTTGATTTATTTCTAGAGCCCAGATATGAAGACTTTCCTGGACCAAGACCTTCAAGAATTGTAAATAATAATAAATTGAAGTGCCCAGAATACACAAGGTAATTGAAACCAATCAGTTATCACTTCAGAATTGATGCATCTTGGCTTCGCATCTCTTTGAACTAAGAGAAGCAATTAAGGGCATAGGTTCTCTTTGTAGGCTGTGGAGATGGGGGGAGCCTGTCTTAGCAACGTTCAATTCAAGATTTCAGAAATTCAATTACTGATTTCAATGGAGCCAGATCTTTAAGAGAGCTCTGCTCTGATTTATGCACCTAAATGAAGGGGCCAAAGTTGATGAGCACTTTGAAAATCTGGCCCTTGACTTGCATGCTTCTGTTGGAGCGGAGTCCTTCTGAAAATCTGGTTTGTTGCCTCCAGGTCTTTCAGATTCTTGGGAAAAAATGAAACTAAAGA